GTCAGCGTTGTTCTTTTCTCTTACTAATCTACATCATTTGTATTGAATCTGTTGTTTTTAACCATACAGGTGAAGAAGTTGGTCTATGTTTATTTGGTGCGTTATGCTGAGGAGCAGCAGGATCTCGCTTTGCTCTCCATTTCCACGTTTCAGCGAGGATTGAAGGTGCAGCAGTTTTCACCTCTGACAATCACAAGAACAACCACAAGTTTATGACATTTTCACAATTTCTATAATAACAAAGTAGAAATATATCTTTGTCTGTACTTAACAAAATATCCCATTAGTTTGATTACATTACTTTTGGAAAATAACTAGTAGTGCAGTTAAATAATTAAAATGAAGAAGTTTTTTTTAATTGTTCTCCCTCAATTTACCACATAAATCCAGGCTCTAACCTCGTCGACCAACATCTGCAATGTTGCTTTGTGCTTTCTCAGGATCCCAACCAGCTGATCAGAGCGAGCGCCCTGCGAGTCCTCTCCAGCATCCGCGTCACGATTATCGTCCCGATAATGATGCTTGCCATCAAAGAAGCTGCTTCCGATATGTCTCCATACGTCAGGAAGACTGCTGCTCACGCAATTCCCAAGCTCTACAGGTGACCTACATCCTCACATTTGCCGCTCACTGCCCCCAAAAAGAAATGATTATGACTCACTGTTGTGGGTTTAAGCACCACAGCGACCTCAAGGGTGATTTTTATTTTCCCTTTTCAAGTTATTTCACTTAAGTACTTATTGAAGATATCTACAGGTCGTTATGACAATCACTAAAAAAATCATAAATAAGGAACTTGAGATTTAAAGAATCATTGTTTTGGAGAGTACAGAATCCTGTGTCCTAGTCTGAGAGTCACTATGCTGAGATGAAGTGTTGTTATGACTTCGTGCCCTGAAATTATAGCTCTTTATGGCAGTAAAAAGAACATCCATCAGAAATCCATTACTGCTGCAGAAGTGAAATCCATTTGTTTTACACTGCTGAGTGTAATTTTTGAGCTCAGCTGATCACCGGCTCTTTCTCCAACATTTGCTCCTTCATGTTAGTGATTTATCCCTTTGTGCTCTCAGTTTGGATCCAGAACAGAAGGACCAGCTGATTGAAATCATAGAGAAACTCCTCGCTGACAAAACCACGGTGGGTTTATGCAACTTTGTTCACTCAGTATGATTTTACCAAGGAAATCCAAATGATATGTTTGAAAAACGGAGTGTACAGAATTAGAACCATTTTCTGTTCCCAGCAGCAGACTGTGTTTAAAGCCTCGTCCTCCAAGACTTAACATTTGTTTGCTTTGGTTTGGACATGAGCTGCTGTAATTTCTCACCAACCCACTGGCACACAGTGTCTTACATACCTCTGCTAAAGCCAAGCAATCCTTCATATGTCTCTCTAGTCTCTATAACTCTTGATCATTGGTTTTTTATCATATAATTATGATTTGTATATTATTATATAAACTTCCTGAGAAATTGGTGGAAATAATTTCTCAAAATTTTAAGAAAATTACAAATCCCTGTATCTGACCCTTTTACCAGATATGCACCAAAATGTAACAGGTTCTTTCTTGGCCCATTGCCCGTTGGACAAGTTTGGGTCAAATCTTTTCAATAGTTTTTAGTAATTCTGCTAAAAAACAATCAAACAGACATGAGGGAGAACAACCTTTTTTGCAGAGGTAGCAGATGTGACTGTAGAATGAAAAGTAGGTGCTAGCATTGTGTGCATCAGTAATCCACATAGATAACATCAACCCCATTTCGAGCATCTTGTTGTGTGCTTCTACATTTGCTGCAGCTGGTGGCAGGAAGTGTTGTCATGGCTTTTGAAGAGGTGTGTCCAGAACGTATCGACCTGATCCACAAGAACTACAGGAAGCTGTGTAACCTCCTGATCGATGTGGAGGAATGGGGGCAGGTCGTCATCATCAACATGCTGACCCGCTACGCCAGAACGCAGTTCCTCAACCCAAACATCAATGTGAGTGAGAAGCACATACAGAATGTTTACTGTCCCATTTTCATGAATGGTTTTCTTTTAAAATCAATCAATTAATCACTAATTTTATAAAATGAGAGACAATAGTGCAAAGATCCCATCACTCCGTCCCCATGTGACAACTTCAAGTTGCTTGTTTTGTGACCAACAGTCCAAAATACAACAAATATTTCCTGAAAGACAGAACTGGAACAAGCAAGTGTTTGGTGTTTTGGTTGAAATTACTCAGATAAGAAAATTATGATCGTCATTTTTGTTGATTCATTTACTGTCCATTAACTAATCACATAATCCCTCTGCCATCTGGGTGGGGCTACAGAAAACTGTATATTAGCACAACCAGACACAAGAGCAGCTTCCCCCCCAGGATGTCACTCTGTCATACAGTATCAATAACCTTCTCACACCAAACATCCACTTACTTCCACTATGCACTGGACTGTTAACAGTACATGCACATTTCTAACATGTATTATATCATCATCATCACTGTTTTTAAATATCCTGCATGCTGTAAATAATCTTTAAATTTAAAATATAGGACAAGATGTTGAATATCCCTTGTAATAGTAATATATATATATATATCAATGTGTAGCATACAATGTACATATTCATCCCCTTTCTGTATATTTTTACAATATTATTCCTTTCATTGCACTACTTTATTGCACAACTTATACTGAACCAGCTGACTTGTGAACCCACTCTCATTGTGTGTGTAATTTTTTGGGTGTTGGTCTAAAGTGTTTCCACTATACTGCTTATTCTCCAACCTTCTTTTCACATACACATTCACATCAACATCCCACACAGTCCAAACCATCCACGTCTATAATTCAAGTATTTTAATACCATTCTTTAATAGGCGAACAGTGTTGTACAATACTGCATATCAATTAATCTGAACACATTAAAGACTATAAACTGAATGTGTCATTGATTGTTGTATGTTGCAGAAGTCCATACAAACTCAGAAATATGGTTTGTCGCAACAAATTTGCATCGGAATAGTATTTTAGGAGATTACTATGCACAAAAGGTACATCTTATTTACAGCTGTTATTTAGTTGGATTCATTCTATTCTTTCAGTTCTGCCATTGTACTGTGCAGGGGCACAAACTGAAATCATCCTCTCATTATTTCTTTCTTGCTCCGATGGCCAACTCTGGAATTGTTTTTCTGTATTTATCAGTTTTACCAGTCCAACCTGAGTCGATTTTCATAACGCGTTGAACATTGTTATCGTGTTAATTCCCAGTGCAGGCAGTGACAAAGTGCTACAAATATTTTGTACGACAAATTTGTCAGGAGGTCCAGTGATGATATGGCTCGCAGAGCAAATTGCCTCATTAAGCTGCCAGCACCTTCTTTCCTAGAGACACACTGTTTATCCCCACTGTCTCTGCAGGAGTCTCTGCTGGAGGAGGGAGGGGACAAGACCTTCTATGGCTCTGATGAAGATGAGGATGAAGACGAGGAGGAGGACAAAGAGAAGAAAGCCGAGGCTGCCTCCTTGGCCAAGAGGAAACCGTACGTGATGGATCCAGATCACCGGCTGCTCCTGAGGAACACGAAGCCGCTGCTGCAGAGCCGCAACGCAGCCGTGAGACCACTGCACTTTTAAATTATACACACATCTTACATCATCATAACTCAGCGCCGCCCTCCCTTTGATTACCATGGTTACCATGGTAGAGAGTGTAACTGCTTCGTCTCTCGGATCTTTTATCAGAGCTGACCTTGAGTCAGTTTAACAAATGAAACTAGAATGACAGAAGGATGCATTCCTCCTCCAAGGCCTAATGTTCCCTTATGAAACCACATTTAAATTCACTAGATCCAGATTTTTATTTAGACCTGCACCAAATGTCACACACTAAATAAATCTCAGTCCCCTACACATGATTTTTTATGTTGAAACAGCAAAGGTACAGTGTGTAGAAATTTGTGATATCTAGTGTTGAAACTGCATGTTGCATCTCATCCCCTCACCTCACCCTCTCCTTCCAATCATGAAAAAGAACCTGTACTACCCTTTAATTGTCATTAAAACTCAAAAGGTGTTTAGTTTGTTAAGTCTGGACTAATGTAAAAAACATGGCGGCCTCCGTAGAGAGGACCCCCTCCATGTAAATATAAAGTATTTAAATATAAAGGACCTTTTCTGGGGTAAAGAAAGCAACAATTCAAACAATTTAGATGAAATGAACTAGTGAAAACATCATGAGGATTATTCTACATTAAAATTGCTGCCAATAGTTCCCTTTGACCTTTTTTAAAAAAAAAATCCTGGATTTGTCCCCTGCCTCTGGATGCACAGCTAAATTTAAATGGGTTCTTCTTTGGCTCATGTCAAACATTCAGTCAAATTTGATTTGTTTAGACCATATTCACGAAGCACAATTTGTCTCATAGGGCTTAACAAGGTGCGACATCCTCTGTCCTTCAACAAGAGTCAGGAAGAACTGAGAACATTAGCAGAAGAACCGTATTTACAACATTGATGAGAAGAAACAGTTTAGGACATAAAGGAACAGTGTGTCAGTGTTTGTGCAAAAGAAAGATGTCTGATAGAGGTGAAGGGAGCAGCAGTGACAAATGAATTGAGGAGTTATTGTAGAGTATTTGAGAGTATTTGAGGAGGCTTGTTGTATGTGTTGTCTTGCTGAAGCCACTCAATGTGTCTGTAATTGATTGTAACGCAGCACATTCTTCAAGCTGTTATATAAGCTTTCATTTAATCTTATGTTATTTCAAATGGATTGTTTTGCCTCATCTTCTCCTCCTGACTGAATTCCAGTGGAAGCCTGCCACATGCATGTGTTTTCCCAAAGGGGTATTGAAAATAAAAAATTGCCAATGTTTTCAAATTGATACCAATGGCAGTAAAAGGGTTTGCTGCTTGTGATGAACCTACAGAGAATTGTCATCTGAATGTGAAGCTGAACTGTTTATCTGTACTTTCACCTCACTCACAGCAGCAGGCAGCAGTCTAATGTGTTTATTTAGTCTCAGAACTTGCGGACGTAAAAACAACTCCCGGATGTGCACAGGGCTGAAATGAGCGTGAACCCGTCCATACTTATAGAAGTGTCTCAATGTACGACTTTTTTCTCCAACTCCGACATATCCCTGGCATATTCTTTATGATTCTGCCGCCAAGAAGGGGTTTAGAACATCAGAGATGGGCTGGGGCACCTCCAAAATTCTCGAAGTTCAACTTGGCGAGTGATTGAGCGTCGGAGCCAGTGTTGAGCAGTCGTGAGCACGTAGAGGAGGAGGAGTTTGCACTCATATAAGCCCCGTGCTCAAGGAACGACTGTTGCACAAGCAGAACAGAAATGCTCATTTGCGAACATGGTTGTGCAGTTGCCGTTCTTTGCACTTGTATCATATGTGTGAATTTTAAGACTAAATAAACACCATAGCAGTCTATAGAGAAAAAAACTTCAAAACCTAAATGTTTACTACCTGTTTAGCATCAAACAGCAGACACACAGTTAGTGACAAGCTGGTGAACATAGTGAAACGTGTAGCAGCTAAAGAGACACATATTTACATTGATGGAGAACAAACTGAAGCTTAAAGGAGAGGGTGTATTTGCACTTTCATTCACCACAACATGTTTATGAGGTAATGGTCAATGTTGTGCCTGTTGTGCTGCCGCCAAGTAACAAACAAAATCTGTGAATTTAGGTTTAATTTGTGTGCATCGTGCTGAGTGACTCATCACCAAATCATTTCTTGTACTTTAAATAACCTCTAATCTTCTCACTTTTAGCCTAGAGCTGTAAAGGGAATGTAAAACTACAGCACACATCTGCACTGCACTGCAGCATGAGGCAGTGTACGGAAGTGTACATTTGGAAATTAATTCATTTACAATGGAGAACAAAGCTCTGGACGCAGTGTTTTCAGCCTTTCTATGTATTTTATGCTGTGCGATTGTATCACTGCATAAGAATTAGAGATAGACTTAAGACCTACTTCTGTTTTACACTCCAGGTGGTGATGGCTGTGGCTCAGCTGTATTTCCATCTTGCCCCTAAAGCAGAGATTGGGGTGATTGCAAAGGCCCTGGTGCGTCTCCTGAGGAGTCACAGGTGAGTGTCTATAATTTTGCAATAGATGGAAATAGATTTTGGCAGCAATGTGTCCGCCCTGCAGGATTAGCCTTCTTACAGTGTGCTCGTGCTGCTGCAGAGAAGTGAGCTGAGGCTGAAAATGATGAGAGCTGAGTCTCACTTGAAAAGGAATGAAGGAAGAAAAGAAATAGTCTAACTGCCAAAAAAATACGCAGCCGAATGTGATAAGAGAAAGCTGTAACGACCATGAAAGTCAGCAATGTGGAACAGTATGGCAACAGGAAAATGACAAGTGAGGGCAGTGAAACAAATCTTTATAGCCACAGTAGAGAAAGTGAAATTAAACAGAGAGCCCAGTGAGGCTGCATGGGTAAAAATGAAGCCATAAACCATCAAGAGTGATGGCGACTCAAAGGCGGCTTCTTGGCTGTAAGTCCTGCACGCTGTCAGCTTCTTATTGAACAAGAGCTTCTGTGGCTGCGGGTGAGTTGAAATGGGATCATCATTCAGAAATGACCAAACACCTGTATCTCCCTGTGGAGCATTTGTCAGTAAATCTGATTCATCAGCTGTCGTATTTGTGTTGAATAAGTAGTGTCTCAGCTCTTGTAACAATTATACACATTTACCAAAATAAAAAATATAGCTATCTAAGAAGAAAAGTTATTAAAATCAATATTAACAGTAGCCTAGATACCCATAGATACATAACAGACATGTGAATCCAATGAAATGACTGGGGAGTGGTCTGATCCCACTAAAGCAGCCTTTAGTGTTTGTGCAGCACAGCGCTGGAACCAACTGCTCGGTCAATGCAGCTTTAAAATCCAGACTGAAAGAAATGTGTTCACAAGTGCCTTTATATGGTGATACCATTATTTTATTTTATTTTATTTGGTTACATATTTCTATCTATGTTATTTGTATTGTTTTACTCTTAATTTATTTTAGAATTTATATGCAAACTTCCTTTTACTTCTTTTTAATCTTTACCACTATTTTATGATGCTGTTTTATGTGGCTCCTGTTACTAATTGATTTAAATTGTGCTTTCTGACTTGGAATTGATTTCTTTTAACTTTGTCTCTGTGTTGTTTTTAATGTCCATGAGCAGCACTTTGAATCTGCCTCCGTGTATGAAACGTGCTTTATAAATAAAACTGTCTTGCATGCACCTAAATACTGATGTACAAACATGCAGATGTAGAGCAACATACATGTAAATCAATACTTTATTAGTGGGCATGATGCTAGAAATTAGAATATTATTATAATTAGAATATTGGAAAGACAAAAACATAATAACAACAACAACAATAATTAATTCCTATAACACGTATCGAAACAAGGTAACAAATTCCTTTTTAAGCAATCATTTAAAATGAGCTTAAGTGCTGGCAAGTTTATATCCTCAAATACACAGGAGAGGACGGAGGAGGCCAGACCTCTTTTTTTTCTCCTCCTGCTCATCAACCTCTCTTGTTTCTGTCTCTTCCTCCAGTGAGGTCCAGTTCGTTGTTCTCCAGAATGTGGCAACAATGTCGATAAAGAGAAGGGTGAGCCACACCAGGGGCAGTATTGTGTTTTATTGTGTTTTATTGTGTGGTTATCAAATGCTGATCAAGCTGCAATTTCACTAAATAAATTTTTTCTTCCTGTCTTATGTTTCTCAGGGGATGTTTGAGCCGTACCTAAAGAGTTTCTACATCCGTTCCACTGACCCAACCCAGATTAAAGTCCTCAAGGTTCTTTTCTGTTTTATTCGTCAGTCTTTTATCTTGTATATCTATATCTACCGTATATATTAAGGGTGAGCCACACCAGTCTGAATTAAATCAATGCAGGGCAATTCATTCTCTTTACTTTGTGGCATTCGCAGCATCTTATTATTTCAAACCCTGTTACACTGAATAATTTATGCATTTTGTGTCGGTGTAATTTCATCGTGAATGGTGAAAACAACAGAATTTGATTTAAACTCACTCGAGCAAAGAATATTGTTACTCTGCTTCACACAGTCAATCCTCATGAATCAGAGCGAAGCTGTTTTTAGGATGTAACACTGAAAGTAAACATGTTTAAGTGAAGTTGGCGACACAAGTTCTAATAAGTAAGCATCGTCATCAAATCAAGTCTTAAAAGTAAATTCAGAGTTGTGTGTCCATTTGAATCATGCAGTATTAAAAGAAAACATGTTTTCTCTTGTCTTCCACAGCTGGAGGTTCTCACTAATTTGGCCAATGAGACGAACATTTCCACCATCCTCAGAGAGTTTCAGGTACAGTGTGACTAACTCTTGTTCAAATCTGTCCTTTTATGTCGTCCTGTACTGAGTGACTATTCTCTGTGCTAGACGTACATTAAAAGCATGGATAAAGATTTTGTGGCTGCTACGATCCAAGCGATCGGCCGCTGTGCTACCAACATCGGAGAGGTGAGGGACACGTGTCTGAACGGCCTGGTACAGCTGCTGTCCAACAGAGATGGTACGTCCTCTAATTTCATATTCTAGATGCTTCCTAATGACCTGCATGTTATATAATGGGGACTGAATGATGTAGATGACACTGTCAGATATAAACTGTGTCTCAGTCTTTGGGCCGCATCCTTCAGAGGCTGCGTTTGATTACATCACAGCGATGCAACTATACTGTTCCAATTCGAAGGCTCCTCCAAATGAGGCCAACAACTGTGTCCTCTCACCCCCGAGCAACGGAGGCTCCACCAAGTGGATTCCTGCCAGCCCAACATCTCCCATGATTCATTGCGCTTTAGAGGCTATTTTTCAAAGAGGTATTGGCGGCAGCAAGCAAGGTGAAAACATCAGAATAATGTATTTTAGATGTAAGTACTCATCCCGACAGCAAACGGTAAACATGTTAAATCATATTCTCGAAGTTTTTAATCAACCAAAGTAACTCTGTAAGTCTGTTGCCAGGCAACGGCTGTAAGGGCGTAAGAAGACCAGACTGTCTCATGCCGGTTCGGGTGACACAGTCTACACGGCGGATGAAGGATGCGGCCCACATCAGCTCTGAAGGACAGCTTTTGTCTCTGCAGTATAGTTAAATCATGCTTATTCATTAGCATATCTAAAATATAATGTTTTGCACTGTGACAAAGTAGATGCTGAAGTACAAAAGAAACAAACTTGACATCAACACACAAACAAATGAAGTGCAGAACATCTAAGAAAAGTGAAGTGAATCTGAACTGAATTATTATTTTAGTAGATAGAACAATAGAATATAAAGGGTTACTCATTCAAATTTGATTTCCAGTGAGTGAATTTGTCCTGTTGTGCAGAGTTGGTTGTAGCCGAGTCCGTGGTTGTTATCAAGAAGTTGCTTCAGATGCAACCGGAGAAGCACAGTGACATCATCAAACACATGGCCAAGCTAACAGACAACATCCAGGTGAGAGTCTTATTCACAAACGTATGTAGGTTTTAAAAACTGCATGGAAAACATAAAGGATTCCTGTATGAGCTTGTCAGTTGATATTAACGTCAACAAAAACTGAGAATGATTGAATCCATTACCAGAGGAAACGATAGACGTGCACATACCACATCCATGTAATCTGTGTTGTCAGGTGCCGATGGCAAGGGCCAGTATCTTGTGGCTGATTGGAGAGTACTGTGAGCACGTACCTAAGATTGCCCCGGATGTGCTGAGGAAGATGTCCAAGTCTTTCACGAATGAAGACGACATTGTCAAGCTGCAAATCCTCAACTTGGCTGCGAAGCTTTATCTCACCAACTCCAAACAGGTCACATGTTCTTCTTCACCTGTACCTAACAGTCAGCTCAAGTGTATCAAATATATATTGAACAGTAGACTGGGCGCTCTGTAATTGTAAATGTCTAAACAACAGGACTTGTTCACCATTATTAGCAGCTTTTAACACATATGATTACACACTCTGTGTAATGCACTGTACATGCATATATTCAGTAGTATCAGCTACTGTTGTTGGTTCTCTCCTCATACTCCATGTTTCAAATACTCCTTCCCCTCAGACCAAACTGTTGACGCAGTATGTTCTCAACTTGGCCAAGTATGACCAGAACTACGACATCCGCGACCGGGCGCGCTTCATTCGCCAGCTCATTGTGCCCACTGAGAAGTGTGGGGCTCTGAGCAAGTACGCTAAGAAGCTGTTCCTCGCCCTCAAACCTGCACCGATCCTCGAGTCTCCATTTAAAGGTACAGAGGGATTTAAAAGTCCTCACCTGATTTCAGCCACAGAGCTTTAATGTGACACAGTCTTGTTATAAATTCTGAAGACAAACCATGAAGTCTGAAACAGAGGCTACATCTATACCACCACCCTTTGAAAACACCATTTTCAAACTAAAACGATCTCTGTCCACACAGGCATTTTGTCACACTTTGTCAAATGTGACCACTCATACAGTGGACGTGCGTGTGCTGGTGTAAACAGGACGGCATGTGTGTGCTAGAATAATAGATTGTTTCCTATACACCCTGGACTTTTCAAATTAAAATGGTGCCAACAGCACTACTCCTGAGTAGTGTGGACACCAGAGGTATCAGTAGCAGAGTAGATGCTTTTTCAAATAAAAATGCAGTAGTGTGGATGCAATTGATAAGTGAAAAATATGTTCTGATTATAGGAAAGCTTTTTATAAAATTTAAATTTTTTTGAATAATCATCAGGGTTTTAAAGGTTCAATTATTACTAATACAAATAACAATAACTATTAATGTAAATAAATGATAATAATAGATAAATAATGGAGCCTAGGTATCACATTTTGAGTAGCGACAGGCTTGACCAGTAATTCTACTCACTTCATTGTCAACACCTGTTGTCACTCATTTGTCCGTTAATGTGCTTGTGTGAGACGTCTTGGCCACTGTAACTGACTCCTTGGCAACACTGTACTTCCTGTTTACATTTACCAAAGCCTTCAAGTTATGGGAACTGTAAATTCATAATGCACCGTCAATATTTACTGATATTACTCTGATGCTCTCGTATATTTACAGCAGTGTGTGGGGCCGCAGTGTAACACTCATACCTCTGTTCATGATCAGTGTTGTACTTCTCTGTGCGTCCCCGCTGTTTTACCCCCCTGATTCCATCTCCTTGTGTTTTTGCAGATCGAGACCATTTCCAGTTGGGTTCATTGTCCCACCTGCTGAATGCCAAGGCTGGGGGCTACCAGGAGTTGCCTGACTGGCCTGAAGCTGCCCCAGATCCCTCCGTGCGCAACGTGGAGGTGAAGGAGTCTGTGCGTGCAGTGGGAACAGTAACATACAGAGACACAGGGGCCCTCTGGGGGCCCCAAAAGATGGAGGGGAGCGAGGGTTGCTCCTGCCTCAGAGCAGTGCCTCAGAGGAGTTGCACAGAGTCGCCAGAGCATCACTTCCAATATAACATTCCTCATTCACCAGCCATCTTTCATTTACTTACAGCTCCATTAGCATTAACAGCTCATCAGTAACATGCATTCTGTTTGGCCTCCAGCTGTTTCCACATGCTGCTTAACAATTCCACCCTCTATGGAGGAGAATGGGCCCCAGAGGAGAAAAGTGGATTATATCTTAGAGCAAAAGTCAATCAGAAAGTCTCGATTTAAAAAGTTGAGTTGCTGAACTCCTCGCCCTCACTGCTGCACCTGCATCTGTTCAGCAGCAGCTCACTCGCCCCCGTCCTGGTAATTTCGTTATTGAGCCAATAGCACATGTGATGCAGAAGGGAACTGATCTCAGAGCAGCAGTTTTCAATGTCTCTGCAGAAACCTGACCTATGGGAGGTTTTAGGTGGTTGGCACCTAGAATAATACAAATATTTTGCAGAGATTCGCATGTTAAATTATATGATAAATATATTTTATATTATTACAGATGAAAAGAGCATCCTCTTCTCCTCCATCCCCTTCACTCCATGTGCCATCGGTTCATAAGCGATGTGTATATTTGTAAAAGAAGACATAAAATCAGGTTCGTCACTTCTTGGTAAAAATCAAGAAGTAAAACCACTTGATTTGAAACAGCAGAAGTGACCTGTGACCTTGATTTTGTTTTCTTGATTGTGTTTGTTATTAACTCATGTAGATATTTTACTCACTGCTCATTGTTTCATGCTCAGTATTAACCTGCCGTTTACTTGTGACGCAGATTTCAAGATGAGGCCACGGGTGCATTTAACTTTGATATGAGTGTTGGAATAGTACAGAGAGGGTCAGAACAGAACACACCAGGAGACTTGTGTTTTAGATAACTTGTTGCATTAGTGCTGACCATATTTCAAAGCATTTGTTTCACTCTAATTTGCAATTCAAACCTTCCATCCAGATATTTGTTTCCCATGCAGAGACTTGAGACTTTGGTCATGTAACATCAGGTAAAGCTGTGAGTTCAGTTTTGGAAACTCTCCCTGTAGCTGCATTCACAGAAACCCAGACATCTGATTGATTTTCTGACATCATACCTCATAGCTGCTACTAGGTCTGCAGTCCAACCCCCCCCCCCTCTTACGTCTCTAAATGTGGTCTGGCAAGAATCAAATTTAATCAGCTCGTGACGTCAGTTCAATGTCTTGCAAATGATTGACAGATCACACATCAGCATGAACCCTTCATGCACCTGAAGAGACACAATCACAACTGGCTTCTTTGCTCACAATATTTAAACTGCAGAACCATGGTTGCTGTTAAAATTTCTTCTAAATGACCGAAATCTTGCGATAGAATCATATTTAACTTTATAATAATGATACCGGCTGTAGAGACTTAACGATGGTAGTCATTTACAGGATATATTTCATAGGTTTCTCGACGGATCACTGTGTGGATGACCAAAGATAAATATATAAATTAACATCCGAGTAACTGGTAATAAATCCAGAAATGAAAGACAAAGAAAGATATCACTCATGTAACGCTTGTGTAGGTGTATGTTTGTCCATGGAAATTCCCTGTGTGTTTGTCTGCACAGAAAACTACAGCAGGGTCTTCAAAGTAAGTGCTCAGCAAAGACATTACTTTGTTATTATAGTGTATGTTTACTGAGCACAGACTTCTACAGTGTTTCAAGCATATCTCAAATCTGGGTCAGTTGATTTGGTCAAAATGTGTGAAAATGATGATGTGCTTTGAAAAATAGTCAGCGTTAATCTCAATCTGTACATGAGTCATAGTTGAAAAGTATAAACAAGCAAAAGCACCAGTATAAAGTTAGAGGCACTTTGTTTGCTAAGGGTCCCAGTACGTCCACTCATGATGTGGCTGGAAATGTAGCTGAGGGTCAGTGGAACCTCTGAAACCTGTCGGCCGCTCTAACAGACTCTCCCTCTGCAGACTGAGGAAGTCGTAACCACCGGCGAAGGGCGGATCGGCTTGTTAGGGGACTGGAGAGAGGTGCCCCCCCCAGTGTGGGAGTGCAGTGTTGTTTGTTGTGATGACTGCTCTCTCTTTCTTCTTATAGGCTCTGCTCGAGCCTCGTGTAGACCTGGTATTAACATTCGTCCCAGAGAGATCCGATCACAAGTGGTCAGCACTAAGTTCTACTGTTCACACCTGATATAAACATGTGTCCTGAATGTGTTTCTTTTGATCACATATGATCAGATCTCAGTTCACCATTCTATATACAAATAAACACGGACATATATTTGTGTTCTCGAACACCAAATGATGTTTTAAATCAGTGTGAGTTTACAGTTGTGTCCCGTGACAGCGTGTCATGAATCTTGTGCAGGTCAGACACATCAGCTGAGTAGTTGGTCCTTCATTTGTGGCCCAGGAAGCATTTGCATTCACACAGCGAAAGCAATATGGCCACATCTTAATGTGATTTATGTGGATGCATCTGTGAATTTAAAGCTGACCACTTGTCTCTCAGAGTGGATGTTGATGCCAGGTCTGAAGGAGGTCTCTCTGGTTGTCATTTATTTATAGTAGCTTCTGATGGTGATGTTGATCTGGTTAATTAATGAGATTGAATTTCTGTCAATTTGACAGTCCTCTTTGTTCCACCTAATATGTGGAATAATAGTTCACCCTACAGCTTAAAGCTTGTTCAAGTTGTAACTAAAACCACTTGTTTACGTAAAGATTCTTACTCGGCCTGCGCTGGTTTTTCCACCATATCGCATGTTTTTAACCAGCAGCAGAAGTTTGTTCAGTTCTGCAGATGTTTAAATTTCCCGTTATTCTCTACAGTATTCTGTTGCTTATAAGTATGTTCTTGAGCTTGAAAACACAGGGCCTGCACTTTAGCTGTCTGAATAATGAATCATTCTCATCTAATAAGTCTTGACATCTGCAGTTTGACCAAACTTCATCTGCTGATGATGAGGACGACCATGAGTTTGAACTGATTCATTAGGAGACCATTGACCCACCGAACTGTGGGTGTTTGCACCTTGGTTTGGTTTCATGAAATTTGTGACACAGTATGTGAATGTGTCACAAATGTTGTTGTTGTGTAGTGATGTGATTTCTCTCTTGCTCCATGACGACTTTCCAACACCTTCAATGGGTTTTTTTCCTCTTTATTCAAGAACGGGGTGTTTGAGTTTGAAAGAAGGTTCAGTTCAATTCAATTCGTAATGCTTTCATCAAAACCCTGCACTCGCACAAAACAGACCCTGTTGTGATAGGATTTGCTCTGCTTGCACTCAAAATGCGCGCTTGCAATATTTTGTTGCTTGGACAGATTTCCTTCGCTTCAGCTTCAGCTGTTCTCTCACTCACACTGCCTCTGTGCTTGTGTAAAAGTTAGTTTTATTTTGTTGAGATAAGTAAAGCTAACCGACCCACAACGAGGACGGGGCAGTTTCCTATGTCAACACTATACCTTTCTGTTGGTTGCAGAATTTTGAGAGAAGAAGCTGAAGCGCAGGAAATTTGTCCAAGCAACAAAAATATCTGAGTGTAAGCTCAGAGTTTGAGTACAAGCAGAGCAGATCTAAGCACAAAGAGAAGGTTTTTAAGTATGAGCACAGGGTTTCGAGTGAAAGCATTATCAAATCTAAATGTGAAATCAGAAGTCTCTAACCAGGAGACTTATTGATACTGAACATAGTTCTCTAATTAAAAGACCATGCTCATGAATAAAGATAGAAAAAAAAAACCCCATACACTTCCACCTCTTCATTGAGTCCATTTGAATCTATTAGAGCCACATGCTCCATTCCTGATTAACACATTCGTACTAAATGCACTGTCATGTCAACGTTTTAGCAGGTAACAAATGTTAATATTGACCTTTTGATTTCTGTAGTGTTTAAGTGTCTACTTCAGTATATGTTCATTATAATGAAGTTATATTGGAGTGTGTTTTGCCAGAAAAAACATTTAGTGTACCTAGTAGCAACATAATAGACACGTGGTAAATAAGTATGCTGTGATGAAACTTGGGTTTTATTTTTGTCTCTGTGATCTCCTGTTCTCACACATTCTTCTTTTTAGACCCAGAAATCCTCCTCACTTTTACTTTCCTGACTTTTCTCTCTGTTTCTCAAACAAACATCATCTCCTCCCTCCTTTCTCATCATCTCACCTCCATCTCAATCTTTTTTCTTTTCTGCGTCTGCCAGGTTTTTACGCTGCTTGAAAGAGTAACAACATTAACGAGTGTGAGTCAGTTAGCGGCAAAGAGCCACATCTCCTTGAGCCTCAACCCATATAGCTGCAAAAAATCCCAAGTGCTTTCTGACACCTCCTTCTGCCTATAATGTAGTCGCTGTTCCGTGCTTAGCTCAGCCAAAGCTCCCCTGAAACACAGCACCTTCCTCTTCCTCGGTCTCTACCATTAAAGAAGTGATTCTTTTAGCGGGGACGTGCGTTCCTCTGACACGTCAAGATGCATTAGTGACCATGTGGGTTCTTAAATGGGGTTTGGGGATGTCCATGCTCATTCGCTGATGGCTCTGGTTAATGAGTTTGGTTCCAGAAAGACAAATAACCTCTTTCTTTAAATTTGAGAGGATAGTCACCACCCCTCAAAGACATCACTTCTCTTAATGGAACTGCTCCCTATTATTAAAAGAAAAGCATTTCTGCTCCTGGTCATGAAGGTATCACCTGGTGCTGACATCTATATGTGCAAAAGAGAAAAGAACCAAAGAAAGAAGCGCCCCATACAAGCATAAGTGTGTGGTCTGTATTGAATTTGTTGTCTGATGTCAGATCTAAATGCAGATCTGCAGCAGGGATGGCTGGCTTCCTTTGGCTACATCACGCCCAGGCAGAGGCATTCATGGCCATGCTACTGTACTGTAATCTGCCCACGCCTCTGCTTCTGTCTGAGGTCTTTTTCCACCAAGGCCGAACTGACAGCTCATTGTTTGATCTGTTTTCTGCCAGGTGCCTGAGTGGACCAAGTGCAGCAGCCGGGAGAAGCGGAAGGAGAAGAAGGTGGAGAAGCCGTTCTACTCGGACTCAGAGGGCGAGTCTGGACCGACAGAATCAGCTGATAGTGGTAACTGTAGAGAGCTGCCGGCTCAGTCAGAACCATCACATTTAGAGTAGAGATGTGTTTGTGTGTCAGCATTGTTTCTGGGATGGTTAAAGTCCAGGTGTTACCATTGTCTTTTAAAGCACAGCCCCAAGCTCCTTAGTTCCTGTTGCAAGTGTAAAGCTTTAAAAAGTGATTCATTAGATTATAGATTTTAAAATGTACATTAAAATGTAAAATATCACGTGTCATTGAATCACCTCTGCCAAGGAGTTTATGTTTTCATCCTTGTCCATGTATTTGTTATTTAGTAGGATTATGCAAAACAATTTAGATTTAAATGCAACTTAGTTGTGAGGATGCTGCACGGGTCAGGGAGGAACCTCATTGAATTTACCCAGATCTGGATTAGGGGACAGATCTAGGATTTTTGATATCACTCTCTGTAACATTGTAAGGACGTGTTCCAACATTTTCGTTGATTCCTCAGAGAATAACTCATGGATCTTGAGGAAAGAAATCAGACATTTAAGGAACGGATATTTAGATCTAGATCTATCTTATTTGGTGTAGCTTGACTGAATTTCATTCAAAATTTGAGTTTGCATAAGAGAAATTTGAAACATGAGAATTAGGAGTGATCTAAAAAGATAAATATGTCGTCATTAGGGTCATTTTGTTCTTGTTTGTGTTGGCCATCAGTAACAGATAGCTGAAGTAGCACTCAGTAGAGCACTTACCTGCATCAAGGCCCAACAACTCCCTTAAAATCAATCAAGCTACACCAAAATTCACACACTCATTAATACCAGTTCCCCAAATGTGGATCTGTCTGATTCAGATCTGCACCAAAATTTAATATAGTACATTCTTCCCTGACCCATATCTACCATTTGTTTTTTCAGGGACTTTGAGTTTGACTCTTATGCTGTATATGCTATAACGTTCCAGATGGACTTTCATGTCCCCGTTGTTCGTATTTTCACCAGTTAAACGCTGACTTTTTCCTCCTCAGAGTCGGACTCTGTCAGCGGCTCAGAGAGTGGCAGCGGCAGCGGGGAGAGCGGATCGGGATCAGAAAGCGAAGAGAGCGAGGAAGGCTCTGAGTCTGAGGAGGAGGAGGATGAAGAGGAGAAAGACAAAAAGAAGAAAAAGAAAGAATTAAAGAAGCCGGTGCGAGAAAGTGAAAGGTAGCAGACACTTTTGATTTCTGTTAATGATTCTGTTTAACAAAACAAAAAACTTGGGACTCAATCCTTTTATGTTCTCTACTACTTTTCTAAAATATGATATTATGATTGGGTATATCTCATCGAAAACTTGCTTTCCTTTCACACTGAAAGTCCAATTTAAGGTTTTTTGTGGTCACTTTTTTTCTCCTGAGACCCAGTGTCATTCACTGCATTGTCCTATTGTTTCTACTGTAAGCACAACAATAGCATCTGTCTCATCTGTTATAGATAAAACTCTAGTGTGACATTTGACCTTTGCTTTCCTTCTCCAGTGAGCAGAGCAGTGAAGAAGAAGAGAGGAAACGTGAGAGGAAAAGCAAACAACGCAAGAGCGACTCAGAGTCAGAATCAGACGAGGAGGAGGAGAGCGAGTCTGAAAGCAGCCAATCAGAGTCTGAGGATTCTGAGTCTGAGGCAGAGGTCAAAAAGAAAAAAAAAGTAAAGATAATGAATCACAAAAAAAACGTACAAACAAAATACAGGAGCATGTCCAGTGTTTTCTTTTTGAGAAACCTACATTTAAAATACAGTTTCCTTATCACTGACTCATGAACTCAACGTTTCTGTATTTAGACTGGCCCACGTTCACACCATCACAAATCTTCATATTCATCTCAATTTGATTTCACCTCCTTCCAGGCAGCTGAATCTAAACCTCCCTCCAAACCTGTCAAGACCGAGAGCAAGAAAGAGAAGAAAGAGATGTCCTTACTCGACCTGGACGATTGTGAGTTTTTCCATCTCTGTGGCTGGGTTTCTTTTCTCTTCTGAAAGTTCAATGCTCATGTGAACAAGGACGTTCTAAAAATCTATCTGTCTATCTAAAAATCATAGCAGGTGCATTTGATCTTTTCCTATGCCAACCCTTCTGGTAACTAGGGAACTGCAAACAAATGTAAATTTCTTTCCCGCACATGCAGAAGAGGATGTAAGAAACAGATGAATGAAGTCAGGTCAAAATTTGTGGACATACCTGCTGAATCTCTTCATGTCTCTCATTTTAGTTGAGCCTGCACCCTCTCCTCAAGTCACGCCCGTCAACGCCTTCCTTTCCAACAGCCTTGTGACCGACCTGGAGGGCTTGTCTTTGTCTGACAGCGTTCTCTCCCCGGCAGTAAGTACCTCTCATGTCTCACTTTCTTTTATGTTCATCCATCGTCTATATCGTTTATGTTTTGAGGGTCCTGATGTTGCTGAAATCAATCCCAGCCGACATGGGGTGAGAGGCAGAGAAAACCCTTACAGACAGGGAAAACATGCAAAACTCTTCACAGAAAGACATGAACCAGGATTTGAACCGAGAACCTTCTTGCTGTGAGGAGACAGTTCTAACCACCCCTGTGCAGCCCATTTATATCAAATGAATTATTGGACATTATTCTTAAGTAGATGATCTGTAATAAAACTTTAAAGACTTGCTGCTGTGCTTTACTGACTAGCAGACTGAAGAGATGGTTTTAATTGCTCTTCACATCCTTACACTTGGTTCATATTAAAAACTCAAACTCAATCAAATCGTGTGAAGACAGGAAACAAACTTTTCTTCCCAGTACCAAGGTAGCTGATGTCCTCCACAACCAAAACTTTGGTGTCCACATTAGTAATCTTTTTAGATTCTGCATGTGAAAATGCAAAATCTGTAGGCGAAGAACTACTTTGACCAATCATGTTTGAGCAGGCTTTGGTTGTCCGCAGGTAAACAGTCCATGTTGAGAGCAAACAAGGCGGAACACGTTGACGAAAAGCATCGCCTTTCTCATTTACCTGCATTCATATGCAGGTAACTGTTAAAGAGATTGTTCACCCCAAAATGAAAATTCCCATGGTGTAAATGACGCAGTTTTGAGTTTAATTTGAATATTTTTTTTACGTTTGAAGAAGTCGTAACCATTTACTTCAATTGTGTTGGATTTGGCTGCAACGCTGTTTTTCTCCTTCTCGTGATTAGCCAAAATGTCTTCTGGACCTAAAACACCTAATTGTATTTTGTGTGTAGAAATCTTCTTGGACTTGTGTGATAAAAGAAACTATTCAGACTGTAAACGGTGCACAGAGAATACAAGATGGATGTCTGCTGTCTACACTGAAAGTCCGCAAATATTGGCTGTTGCCCCAGAGACTAATTTATCTCCAGATGATAGCCGATGGGCTCGGAGATTAGAAAGCCATGAAAATAATGCCTTGATATAACACTTGGAAGAAAGGTTTTCTTCAGAGTTTGACTGTAAACCATCCTGAGGCCATTCCTCAACTTGGATTTCCAACTTCAGCCCCCTCATCACATCAACAGCTAATTCAGATCAAACATATTAAAGGATTAGGGCATTTAGTTTCATCCTAAAACAGCACTCATCTGGCAATTGCATATGTCAATGTTTCTTCATGTAACGTGAAATCCACACTACATATTTCTTTCAAAATAAGAAAGAAAAAGTCGAAAGAAAAGAAAAGCTCTCATGCTAATTCATCACCACTCTGAAAAAAAGGACAAATCGATCAAAGGCAAGAAATGCTTCATCCTGAGCACAAAGTCTGTCTGTAAAGTCAGTGACTCTTCATCCTCTCTTCTCCCCACAGACCATCACCCCCTCCAGTGCGCTGAAGAGCTACGAGCTGTTGCACCGCATCACAGGGGAGGGCCTGTCAGTGGAGTACTGCTTCAGCCGGCAGCCTTTTAGCCCTGACGCCAACATGGTGGCGGTGCAGTTGCAGTTCACCAACAGTGCCACGTCCGACGCCAAGAACCTGCACATGGAGGACGTGAAGCTGCAGTCTGGCATGAGAGTGAAAGAGTTCCCAGAGATTGGTGGGTAACTGTGGACTGAACTTATAACACTGTGATACAAACAAGATAAACAAGAACAATTAAATTGAATAAACACCGTTCTAATGATTTTGTTGCTCTTTGAGATTTGAGCAGTTAATACTAATAGGAATTTGGGGTTAATTCATATAAAAGGAGTATATCCCCTTAGGTGCATGAAAAGAAAATAGAATATTACGTATTTCTTCAGTATGGTACAGTGCAGAGCTGCTTCTGTGTCGCAGCCCCCACTCTCTGGAACTGTCTCCCCGCTGAAATCCACAATGCGGCATCTCTGGACAGCTTCAAAAAAACTCCTCAAATACCACCTGTTCACAAAGACATTTTTTACAAGGCTTATCAGGGTGACCAGGCTTTTCTGTCAGGACCCCGAGGCTCTGGAACTCCCTGCCTGATGTGATAAGGTTCACCAACTCACTACCTATCTTTAAAGGTCCAGTGTGTAAGATTCAGGTGAAAGGAATCTATTGGCAGAAATTTTATGTAGAATAATCCTCATGATGTTTTCACTAGTTCGTTTCATCTAAATTGTATGAATTGTAGTTTTATTTACCCCAGAAAGTAGTATTTCTGGGGATTTATATGTAAATACTATATATTTACATCGATGGGACCCTCTCTACGGCCGCCATGTATTTGACAGTCGTCCAGACTGGACAAACTAAACACCTTTGAGTTTTAATGACAACTGAAGCTACCACAGGTTATTTTCATGTTTGGAAGGAGAGGGTGAGGTGAGGGGTGTTCAGCTGCAACATGCAACTTCAACACTAGATATCACTAAATTCTACACACCTTCCCTTAAAATTATTGCTCAAAATATATATTTTATAGGAAAACATTTTAAATGTCTGATTTGTAACCCTGGTGCTACTGTGTTGTTTAAATTCCTTTTATTGCTTATTAGCTTAATTTTTTTAATGTACTTATGACAGCACAGGTTCAGTTTAAAAATGCATAGAGTTAATGATGTCTGATCTGCTGAGCAGGCCGCATGGCTTTCATAGTACTGCCATACAAGCCAGTCTTCTCTCCCCTCTTTTCCACCCACCTCTCATCTCTTCCCCATTTTTGTCTGCTCACCCCAACAGGTTGAGGCACAGGTTTTCGTAGTTTGTATAATCTTTGCCACAATAAACTATACATACCTGTTTAGAGGTAGTACTGTGTGTAGCATGGATCTGAGCTAGTGGCTTACTGGACACACCCACTTCTTATCTATCAAACTGAGTTTCTGACTGAAAAGCTTAATGTTGATTTATTTTTGCACATGTTAACGCTGCTGTCTCCTCTTTGCCTGTGTTGACAGAGCTGCTGCCGACAGGTGAGACTGCCACAGTTGTGATGGGCATCGATTTCTGTGACTCAACCCAAGCGGCGAACTTCCAGCTGTGGTGAGATGGCTTCTGTGTTTAAGAGGACAGGTGGTCACCCATGCAGACCTCCTGTACTGCTGAGTGAACATACAAACCAATCTGCTGAGTTCTGAAATTGCGCTCACTTTTCTTGACTTGTTAGCTTTGCATATGACACGATGTACGTACACCACAAGTGAAACAGTGATATGTGATCTGTGCACAATAATGTAGAAACAAAGGAAACAATAGAGCTCAACAAATGGTTCTGGAACTAAAAATCCCATTTATTTTCTATTCGTAATAGAGATAAGATAAGAAATTGTGAAATGGTGTTATATTCTCCTGAAAAAGTCTTTCTGCTATCAACTGTGTTTTAAGAAAAACATGTTTTATTTATGAAATACTACACTTCCCACAATTCTTAGCTATAATAGCAACGGCTGGTGGAGTTTGCTGTTACAAAGGAAACGTTTACCACAAATCATGTCAGCATTACACAGAGCGCCCAGGATTTCTTTTTCTGACATGCTGCATTTTTAAGTGATGTGGAAAAGAAAAGAGTCCAAAGGGTGAAAATCCCTACATCAAAGTTGAATTCAAGAAAGTTGCTAAAAGTGATTATTCGCAATGGTTTATGGGATGTGTAGTTCCTTCTATCTTAAAAGATGTTGTACACAGTCCTGTACTAGTGGGTGATCTCTGTTACGCTTTATATTGAGCTGTGAAGTTTAAGCTCTCCTGCCCTTGAATGAATAAAATGTATTAATCCCTAAAAGTTTCTTTTTTTGCAGCACTCACACCAGGAAATTCTTCGTGTCTATCCAGCCGCTGGTTGGGGAGCTGATGAGGCCTGTCTTCCTGACAGAGAACGAGTTTAAAAAGGAGCAAGGTATGTAATGAAAATAAATTAAATAATTTCTATTGAGAAATAAGGAAAAGTGGAGTTGGTTACTTTACTTGTACTGATTTATTATGTTTGCTTTTTTACTACTTCTCTTCAACAACTTTATTTGTGTTTAGACAGAAAGAGATGGGTTACAGGTATAGTGTCACGTGTAATGGCTTAAACTGGTTCTTATTTTATATATTGATCAAATCCTAATATCAAGGAATAGTTTACTGTATTTAAATGACAATTGATTATTATAAGGGTTTGCCAGAGACCATTTCTGTGGGTTAGTTTTCTTTGAATCCGCCAGAAGTGTTTTAAAGACTGGTTCATCCTGGTTTATGGGATTTTTTTCCTGCTCTAATGTGAGTAAAGAGCAACAGTTCTTCAGAGATATTCTCAAACATGTAACTATATGGCACTCAGTAGAGCACATACCTCCGCCAAGGCCCCTTACATTCAATCAAGCTGCACCAAATTTCAGATATCCATTAACTATTCTCTGGAAAATCATGGAAGATGTTTTTTAAAAAAGCTCAAATTGTTAAAGAAACAATTCCTTTATCTGCTCCCCAATGCAGAGCCACACCTACATTTTATAGGATCTTGACCTATAGGGCATTCTTCCACAAAGTTTCATGGAATTCTGTCCAGTAGTTTTTGCTTAATCTTGCAAACAGACAAACAAACAATCAACAAAGAGACGGGGGTGAAAACATAACCACCTTGGCAGAGGTAATTTTCCTGAGATCACATCAGCATTTGTTTCCATTGGAAAGTTGAAATGCGTCACCTGTAATTAGACTTTTAAATACACCAAAAATCCAAAGTGTTTGGTGTGCAGACAATACCAGCATGTCTCTAATGCCTGGTGTTCACTGTACATGCTGACTGACACAGAGCCAGACGTGAGCTCTAACAAACCCATAGTGACTCTTTAAACATCTGTCATGTCCACGGTTCCTCCCTCTCCACACTGTCACCAATAGAGAAGCTATTACACAATCATGGTAAGTTGGCTTTGTTAGATTTGTTCCTCCCAGCCATCTGTGTGCCCACCTGCCTTTTAGCCGAACCTCACACAGACCCTTACTCCTCTCCTCACCCTCCTTCTCCCTCCTAATGCCTCCTGCTGACCCCCCCCCTCCCCTCTTCCTGCCTTGGTAATCAACACGTAACTGCATCTCCAGGTCTGTAGCTGCAGACAGACTCATCTGTGCTGCTAACCTGCACTTCATAAAGGCCGCTCACACTCTGCTGCACCGGGAATGACTGGAAATGCTCATCCACTGATGCTGATTCACTCTTCTTTAGGCACCATGTGAACCAAAAAAAAAAAAAAAAAGTAAATAACATCAGGCTCAGAGCAGCACTCGCTCATGTGCACCATCGTTCATCTTTCTTTTATCTGAGCTTTCAAACTGCTGAAATGAACTGCTGAATCTCAAGTACTGCTATGTCACAATATTGTTCTGCATCATGTTGTGATTTGAAGGTCAAAAGACATTGTATAGTCATTGTTCACAACACGCTGTTTAACCTGCAATACTGGATTTATTTGTATTTGTTTTCGACACTGGGGGCCTCAGAAACGATGAAGTATGACGGCCAATCAAAGGAAAAACATATCTGATATTTTGAGAATAAAGTTGCATTTTTACAAAAAAAAGTGGTAAATTAACAAGAATAAAGTCATAATATTACAAGAATATAGAAAAAACTGATTTTTAGGATATAAGCAGCAAGAATATCACTTCTTCTGGATCCAAAATCTTGATTACCAATCTCACTACAAAAGCCCCTTTAATAAACCAGATGATGATGATCAGCCTGACAGTCGACCACTACACGTCTGCATGGTTCTTTGTTTAGAATCAGTGCACAATAATTTCAAAGTCCTGATTCTTATGATAATGTACTACAGTATTATCACTTAATTTTCATAAATGTATTATCTATTCCTGTGAATATACAACTTTTTTCTCATAATATTACGACGTAAATCTCTGATTTGCTTTGACCTTTCACATTGTTCCTAATACTAAAAACTAGCTGTGAGCACAACACTGACATTTCATCACCTTTCAGGTGATTATTCACACTTCCAACAGTTGTGTTTTTGGCCACCTGATAGGTCAAGCATTCACTCTCTTATAGCTCCAATTTATCCACCCACACCAGAGGGAAATATCTGTCTCTTCAGCTGCTACATGCTTTACTATGCCATCTTGTCACCAGCTGTGTCTGTGTACTGTTTGGTGGTGAGCAGGTAGTGTTCATATAAAGATATACCTGCTCTACTCACAGTGGGGGACATCGGGAGCACAGGGACATTTCCCTGTAGTCTGATGTTTTTTTGGCAAGCTCTGCTATCTGAAAACGTTGTAGCAGCCGTGAACCCGCTTCTGATAGCATTTTAACAAGTCGTAGGCTAAATGGTCTGAAGAAAAGGAAAGGTGGAGCACAGAGGGAGAGAATTAATAGGAGAAAAGCTTGTGCCTCAGATGCAGCTAAATACGTTCACCAGGAGGGGACCAGGTCAGTCACGTGACACTCACACTGTGGAGGACTGCGGTCAAGCCTTCACTCCGAAACACACGGTCAAACTGTCCCCACTCATTTCAAGGTGCACATTGTTTCTCTGCATTATGTTACAAGCATATGAGAGTGATTTCAAAATAAAAGCGAGCTTCCAGTAAACGGGATGCCACTTTTGTTCAGTCTGTTAATGCATGAATTAATTAATGACAAATTATACTTATTCTATTGAAATACACAAATGAACCGAATGAAGTAATGATACAAAATTAAATAAATCTCATATTTTCACTGATTTGGTTGTGGCAACAGAGAGGCAGATTCTTATGGTACCTGACAAAGATGATGTCACTGAAAGGATGACAGAGGGAAGTGAGTTTCTGCACCGCCTACTTGTTTACTAGACTGGTAACCATTACATCAAAGATTAGGGTCAGCCTACAAAATTGGAGGTCTGGTTCTTAACGAGAAAAGTGTGGCCTAAAGGAGTCAAATGCCTGGCCTGAATTATTGTCTCAGTCTGCACCTGTCTACTCATATGATATGACTCACCCTCAAAAATCTCCTACCATACACTTTCTCCCAATTTGGCGGTCTATTTAAGCTGTGAATATTTCCCATCCATCTCTCTGTCTGTCAGTGCCTCTGCTGTCCTGCGTCAGTATCTATCCCTTTTGATTCAGCCCCCCCACCACCCCAGCATCAAGCCCCCGGGCTGCGGATTACCACATTTCATCACTCCCCATTTAATCATATCTAAAAGGAGAGTGATGACGTTGGAGCCAAAAGTTTAGGGATCTTCTGCTGCTGTAATTTAAATGTGAGCTGTCTGACTAAACTGATCAATCATTTAATCCCATACATTCTATCATCTTAAAACATAGCTTCAGCCCCTTTTTGATAGGAAAAGAAAACAGAACCAGAGGATCAAAAGTAGCAATTAAGAGTCTTCTCCGAGCATTTTCTGTTGACACTTACGTGGCTCGGATGTGTGAGTTGGATACAATGACTGGATGAAATGTAGAATAAAATCTCTAGTCCCCTAAAAGAGACAATCTGCTGAGAGTCTTTTCTTTTGGTTTTACTTCATGACCTCCATAATGCTACTGTCCCTTCCTCAGCCATTTTAGAATCAAATTGTTTTATTTTGATACTATGAGCAATGATTTAGCAACGACGAGGGTCTTCAGATTCAGCTTGTTTAGTGTGACAAAACTGAAAGGTACACACTGTACAATGACATGCAACAGAAAAATTGTCGAATGCTATCATTATTACCAAATAACTTCACCAGTTGGAATATACCTCACGGTGATATATTCAGTGATCAAGGAATGTGAAAAAAGTCTTCCGCCACGTTTCGCAAAATCTTCAACTCTACATCCTGATGTCATTTGACCTGCAAATCAGTGCGTAAATGAGACTGGAAGTTCACACAACTGCCTCTTTTGTGCCGTGTGGAATCTGAATCACTCCTCTGCTGTGTTCAGTGTAAAGCACTCCAGTTTAAAGTTCAGCAGCACTTTATGATTATTGAAGTCAATAATCACATCAATCCCTCAGAGGACTGTAGATGTTGATGGTGATATAGAAATCCCTTTAGTTTCGGAACATTTATCCAGTATCTGAGTATAATACTGTATACGTTTTTTAAAAAGTCATCTCTTGAACCAAGCAGTACTACACTGAGCTCTCACATTTATACATGCAGCACTCTGTTAGGTATTGCAATAAGTATAGTAATAACTTTTTTTTTTTTTACTGGGGAGAGAGAAGTAGCTACTGCAGCTCCTGTTTGACCAGTGCTCTGCTCATACTTCTACAGGTCAGCTGATGGGCATGAACGAAATCACAGAGCGGCTGACTCTGGACATCAAGTGCCGGAATGAACACACCATCGTCCAGCGGGTGGCCACCGCCGCCAACCTCAGCCGAGTCCCCTGTGGTTCAGATAAAGAGTGCAGGTGAGAAGATTAAAAGAAGCATCAGTAGTGACGTTACAAACTAAAAGCTGCTCTTTAATCTAAGTGAGGCTCAAAGGACGTAGCATCCCTTTGGGCCGACCGGGGTCAAGTCTCATAGTGTGAACAGTTGTGTCCAGAACACTGCAAGTTACACATTATAGGTTGATGTCTAGTACAAACTAGCATTTATTTGCTATGTTTATTTAAGAATGTGATTGATTCCATGTTCAGATGTCCGAGGCATCTGTTTTCACTAGCAAGGACAACACCATCAACAAGATGCTATTGATAATAATGGCAATTGGTATGATGCATGAGAGGTAGATGGATTATTGAGTCTTAGTTGCATTGTGGGGAAGCTTGGGAGGCACGACAGACCCCCAGGACCCTATGGAGGAGGAAGGAAACAAAGAGAGAAAGGTTTGGGGGTGTGCAGTACACGAGAATGAAAGAAGAGGAGAGGGTTGGCAGGGCATTTACAGACATGAGCGGTTGAGGTGTGGTTCTGCTCCTGAAACTCTGCTAGATACCTACAATGATTCGAATTCTGACTGACTCATGTGTCCCTCCTTTATTCTGTGGCTTCATCTTTACTTCTGATCTTTGCTGCTTTGACCTCAGTCCTCCTGTTCCTCCTGCTGATCACCCTGTCCACAGGTTCGCCGGCCGCACAGTGACCAGCGGCAGCCTGGTGTTGGTCACCGTGGCGACCAAAGAGGAGGGAGCGGCCCAGCTGATGGTCAACTGCGAGAAGATGGTGATCGGCACCATGCTGGTGAAGGACATCCTCCTGGCTTTGACGCAGTGACCCGTGTCTGCTCTCGACTTCCACCCCCCGCCCCCCCTCGCTCCACCCACCTCTCACATATCGTCCAGGTCATCACAAGTGTAGCATCTCTTTCGTTCTCGAGTCAATGAGAACGTCTCGAGAACGAGTGTTTAACTCCAGGTTGTTGTTTTCTTAAAGAGCCCCCCACTCTCAGAAACTGCTGAATGCCACAGCTCAATATTCATGACAATCAGACCAATGTTTGACGTGATAGGAAATCCTTTGCCCCCATTAAAGTTTCTTATATTCATCATCCAAAAATATTTGTTTTGCAACATGTTTGTTGCTTGAGGACAACATTTGATTTGGTGGTCTCAAAATCTAGAATATTACAAGAACTCCCATCCAAATGTCAGAAGTTACTCACTGCACAAACATCACAGACACCTGATTCACTTGTTTTCTGAGCTTTCTGCTGCACGTCATGATCTTCATCAGCCGATGGACTCACAGAGACTATAGGTGAAGGCAGGTTTATTATTAAGATTTGTATTATGCAACATCTTTCAACAATTGAGTCCTGTACATAAAAAGGCATAAAGACTAACTACAATAAGATAGAAATAATACATGTAGTGTTAATAGGATTGTAGTACAAAATACATTTAAAACAAATCTGTGTAAATTAGGCTTTTGTCCAGTGCTAGATATGAATTAATATTCTGAAAAGCTATTTAATTAAGAGGCAACTGGAAAACAGTACATATTTAGGCCTTGAAGGACAAGTGTCATGTGAATGCACTCAAATCTGTCCTCAGTGTGTCCTGAGATCATTCAGAGGTGGTGACCAGGAATACACAATATGGATTTTATCAACCAATACCAGTAACTAATAATTACCTGCCTCTCATGGCTGATACCAATCATCAAAAATATCAGTGCAGTGATGCCCTTCTCATGTTAAAGTCTTCACCCAGCCACTAATATATTTATGTCTGTGGTAAACCTTACATCAATTACGTTGTTATCGATCAGACAATGAATGGGTGTGTAGACAGCAAACAGGGAAGGCAGGAACACTTCTAAAAAATACCTGCAGCTTGAGAGAGTATATTGCTTCCATACAGCTTTGCTGCGATGAGGACTTTCTAAGTGATGATAAGTAATATAAAGATTTGTAATGTTGTTTTCCCTCCTCTCAGAATTGAGTTAAGTACAATGCAATGCTGCCACCCGCTGGCATAATAGCTTCATAGCAATTATCAGCTTTTTTTATCGGCTCAGATGTCATTATTAGAATAATAAAAAAGAACATACTTTTCCTTTTTCCTCTATCAAGCCAAAACTAGACACAGCATCGACTGGCGCCAGGTAAAGCTCATCGATAACCAGAGAAAGGTAAAGGAGAGCATCAATGACACCCCCTGCATTATGATCCATTCTAATGACATGACCTAATATCGTGTGTGCAAACGCCATCTGCTGAAGAAGACCATGAGATGTGGTGCAGTGCTTTGAAAAGATTCAAAAAGGATTATTTCTGTGGCCCTAACTGAGGATTTAAAAGTTTAAACAAAGCAGTAAACTACCACCCATAAAATGGGCAAGTCAATTTTCAGAATTCTTTGAGACGTGGATGAACAAATCTGTCAAGGCAGTTTTAATTTTTAGCTTGTTAGGTTTCAGCTATCAGACGATTTTAAGATGTAGATATTAGAGTTGATAGAGAATCAATGTAGGTAAGAATCCCCAAGAACAGGTCACCATGAAAAACATTTTTACGTTTTTATGTTTCAGCTTCATCAATACTAAATCGATTTAGAAATCAAATGTAGCATGAAGGCTCAACTGAGACAACAATCACCTGCATCTGAATCTGTTTTGGCACAATAACAAATGTTAATCAATGACTCACCACTCCTGTGAAAAAAGAAGGATTTTCACGGCACCTCTGCGGTACAGTAGTTGTCATAGTGTGATGTTCATTACAGTACGTGGGGCGTTGTATAAATATCATTGTATGTATTGCGACATGTAATACAGTAATACTCTAAGGTGGTGTGTGTGTGTGTGTGTGTGAGTGTGTATGTGTGTTTTTGTGGGTGTGATGATACTGAATATTGACCAGGCAAAGCTCATCACCATCATCAGTCGTCAGCTTGTAGCGTTGTTTGCTGAGTCAGCTGCAGGCTACAAAGATTCAAAAACGATTTACCCCTCTCTTATTTCTTATTTCATTGTTCATTTGTCACTTTACCAACCTGACATTCTGATGATTGTGCAAATGTTACAGAAGGATTTAAGATTGTAGAAAAATGACTGAAACTAAATTACTTAACAAAAGTCACCAAAGTCAAGGGAATGGAAAGATGGAAATTGATACATCATCAGGTCCATAAAGCTCAAGTCTCTTTTTTAAAATTTTTGCTTGATAACTAATTGATTATCAAAATATCTGCTAATCCAATCCAATATTTAGCCCTGAGGACAACCTTTAAAGGTCCTGTGTACAGAGATCTAATAGTTACTTTCCAAGTGTGTAGAAGAACCTGCGGTGGACTTTAGGTAACATACAAATATGTCAAGAGCTGTTGTTTAGTTTGTCCACTCTGGGCTACTGTAGAAACATGGTGATGCAACATGGCAGCCTCCATGGAAAAGGACCCTCTCTTGACGTAGGCATAAAGGGCTCATTATAAAGAATTGGAAACACAATGATACTTAGTTTCAGGTGATTGTTAACTAATGAAAACAACACTAGAATATTCAATTCAATTTCTGTTTAATGGATTGTCATGAATCCTACACAGTGGACCTTGTGGTTTGTTTTAAAGGAATAGTTTGACATCTTTGGAAACTTTTCCACTTGGTTTCTTGCTGAAACACATGTTCACTGTAGCTACTACATGGCTTCATTCTGCGTTTTAGTCCAACTCTTAAATGAACTTTACCAACTAAAAGATGATTTCCCTTTCAGGTTATTTAACATTACATTTTTGAGAATCAGCTAAAACACCTTCCTGATGTGCTGATGATAAGGTCAGAGATGTTCAGGTTAAGTGTCAGGTGACACTCCTCATGCCTTTTTGTTGACATTTGGATTTCACATCAGAAGTCGTGTGGTTTCTGTTTTCGTTGTTGGCCTTTATGTAGTGGCTGCACATTGTTTTGTCATTGTCAACACATTGTTTGTGTTTCTATTTATTAATTAATTGTGTCTTCACTGTTGTGTTTTGTTTTTTACCAAGAGAGTACAGTCCAGCAAAACATTGAACAGTTGAATTGTTTATTCGGACCTGAGATTTACAGTCAGGGCAGCACAGCCATTATGTAGAATGTAAAGAGGAAGGAATATCACTTTAATGTAAAAAAACCAAATCAAATGAAAAGGTTTTCTCTGAATTTGTTTTCAAATATCCAAAGTATGGTTCATCATACCCTGTGTGGTTGTGGAATGTGGTCCTGAAGTATTACAGGTTTATTTATTATACAAATAAAAAATATAGATACAATATTTGTGTCTCTTGTCTTTCGTGCTGCTGAACAAGAAAACACCTCTGGACTGCAGGACTGTTTAAAAATAAAATAACACTTGTATAAACTGAGTGGATGAACAGTGAACCGTTTCAGAAACAAAGCTGTATTCTCTCCACAGGTTAGTGTGGCGTGTTGGTACTTCTGTAAAATGTTTCCTGAGTGCTTCATTACACTAAACATTTCAAGAGACATCTTCATTTTCATGGCCGGTATGTTGGTACAGTACTCTGGCTTCCTTCCACAGTCTGTTTGTATGTTTGTGTTGTTGAGCTTTGACACAATAACACAAACATACATATGTACACCAAGCGACTAAAGACAGATTTCAGTCATGTTTGTATATTTTGAAAAATAAAAATCATCATTGTTTATTTTACTTCCTGTATGCAACTGATGGTTAATTATTCTCTCTGTATGAAACTAAAACAGCTTTTCTCAGGACGTGCCATTTTGATTTGGACAGGAAACTTTACTTTAACAGCAGGCGTACAGAGTTTATCACTGCACAGTACAGTCTGTACAAATCCTGTGTAATAAAGTTGGATTTTCTTTGGAAATTGTAGAAACATGTACAAAAACATTTGAATGAATATTGTAGTCAGTGTTCATTGTTAGTGTAGTACGTTTTTTATAACCAAAACAAGAGAACAGATAAAGCTGATGAAAAAATAAGATACAGAGACAATAAATATACAACGAAAGTCCTAAAGAACATGTCAATTTGACAGAACATTAAAAGATACAGTGCAATTAATTTCAGTCAAGTGAGTCCAATCTTCAAAGATTTAAGAAATCAAATTATTAGATAGATTTCAGCCCTCAGCGTGATTGAAGCTGTCACCCAGAGGTTTAAAGGCACCAGTTTAACATAATATATGTATATCTGACGTAATATATCAGTCAAAATAAAAAAACTGTTACAAAGATGCAAAGGTTTTCTGAATTAACAGTCTCACCTCGAAGAGATTTATTTGCTCTTTTTGTTAAGTTCACTAAAATGAAGCAGCTTAAAATTCACTTGAGAACCGAAGACTTGAACAAACTGTGAAGAACTAAGTCTGCTTACAAACTTTACTCCCGAGAACTGGGGCGACCCCTATCGGTGGAGCAATAACATTGTCATTAAGTGATGAAAATACTGATCATAATTTCCCTTTTTCTCTCAGACGCACACACACACTTGATGTGAGAGATGTAATTGCAGTTATTCACAGTTCAAATTCAATCATTTAACAACAACCTAAGATAAAGACTCAATTTAAATCAATTTACTCATATGGGCTCGAGAAAACATAATCAAACGTTATGGAGATAAGGAATATGATCAATATGAATCAGGTCAGAACTCAATGTTTTACTAGAATTAAATTAGATTTGATCAAACAAAAGACACAACCGACACACCACCATCTTAAAACTGATTATCAAGTAAATGTCAATCTGTAAAAAAACATTGTCATGTTCATGTTAAACATTATATTTTTAGGGTGACTGTAAATGCATATGTTTTTGTCACTATTGCAGTTATTGTGTTGGTCTCTAAATGACGAGACGTGTAAATCCAGCATCGCTTCAGGATTCACCAAATAGGTTTTAATTTGTAGCTGTAGCTCAGTCAAACTGTGTGCATGAGCTCAAGAATGCATCAGCTAACGCAGTTATTCTGGATGACAGTGCTTTCTTTCATTCACACACCGGCAGGGACAAATTGCATCACGCTCCCCAGGCCGGCTGGTATGTCCATCAGTGACGGAGCAGAGAGGAGTTTCACAAGAGGGTGTTCACATGCCAGCAAACAGGCGTGGCAGTAAAACTCATTCACAACAACTTCCAAACTCCAGATGTTAAAATACGTGATGGTTTTATTGTTCACCGTTTGCTCTGAGATCAATAGATGTCAACTTCAGCTCGTGTCTTCATCAGCCAAAGTTAGTTCAACCTTGTTATTACCAAGAGTGTAAAGTTTGACAGCAACAGTTTTATCTTATCGCACTTTCAGTAATGACATAATCCCAAAATGACCTTGAAAATTAAGCACAGAGCATAAACTGGGCCCAACATGTTTCTGCTGCCTGATGTTTTTAATCATGTTTGCAGATAGAATTCATTTTTTCAGACTTTAATAGGCAGAAGCAAACAGCTTTCTTGTCAGTCTCTGGAATTTACCTCTTTGGTAGAAGAAGTCATATTTATTCAATCAGCCTTTAAAACCTTTAAACTCTCAATGAATCAGCTGAAATAAAGCTGATTCAATTTTTGGAAGAATTGGTCTGTTAATACACAAACTGTATTTTGCATGCTACTAAACGACCCTGTTATTTGAAGGATCTCAGTGCTACTGTCATGGTGCTCATACAGTATCTTACCTGCTTATGCTCATATTTGCTCTGCAAAACTTGGCTTCAAGGGATTGGAATTCTTTTCTTTGCTTCCTTTGCTGCACAAGTTTGTTTTCTGCTTACATATACATATTAATACAATATCTCCTGCTCATTAACTCTTTTGCTTGCCAGTCTCTCTGTGTGGCAGTAATTCATATTTATTTATTTACTTTTTTTTTTGCTTTTATTTCGTTGATACTGTCGGCATCATGATAACAGTTCTAAACACACCACTTATAATTGGCTAACTTTTGGCTAACTCTGCCATATTGACAGTATTGTTATTAATATGCACTGTCCCTTAAAAATAAACATTATTCATAAAAATAGGAAAGATCTTGTAAAAAAAAGTCAACCAGCAGCTTGGAATAGATTTTGGTTCGTGTTCATGTGACTTGTGTTCCAGCCACACAACCAGGACTAACTTCCTTCTTGTTAATGTGTAAGGCCTGTATCTGCTGACTGAGTGAAGGATTCTCATGAGCTGTAGTAAAACATGGAGATGATGTAACAAGCAGGCTGTTCACTGTTGTATTTTCACCCCCGCTGTGATCTATGACTGTTTCAGGTCACATTTCCTCGTGTTAAAGTTGCTGAAGTAAGCTCCTCTGTGCCGAGCAACAAACAGGCCAGAGGGACGATGTGAATCCCATGATGACAGGTCACAGACGGAGCATGTGATTCTGGTATTATCACCGTGTGGAAAATCATGTGTACATGGGATGTGAGGAGCAAAAGAGGAAATAGCAGGGCATTGTTCTTCAGTGAAGCACTCTGATTATGTGTTCCTTCTCTGACTCAGTGGTTCTGAGAGGAAGCGAGGACAGTTTCTAGTTGTGTGTCTGGGTTGACATCCGTTTTTTTTACCCAGTGATATTTGTTGTTTTACTTTGAGTTTGCAGTGCAGTGGAAAGTGAACCTGGATTTGAAAGTGACATGTTTGAGACGCACTGGCCTTGAGTTTAGTCACTTTTTACTCAATTGACTCATCTGACAGGCTACACTCATATAAATACATGGCTTTTAGGAACTGATATTAGTAGACAAGTAATAATTGCAGAACCTTGAGTTGTTATCCCATGTTTTCACCCCTGTCTGTTGGTTGCTTTGAGACCAATATGTCTACATGTATGACACCTCAATTTCATCCTGTGATATTAGGATTAAGTTCTGCATGTGTTCGAAACTTCATCAACACCCCCACACGCTCGCTGCAATTCTTTCTGCAAATTTTGCTGCTGTATTCACAGTTGGACATTTTACAAGGGGCGCTGTTTGGAAAAGTTCCATAAAATCTCTGGAGCACTGGAGTTCTCACATACAGCACCTCTGGAATATGTCAGTGTTTTTTGGTGGAGACCAAAACAAAGCTACAGGAAAGCATCACGCTGTAAGTTAGGGGCGGCTTTGGTTCAGGAGGTAGAGCGAATCGTCCACTTACCTGGAGGTTGGTTCAATCCCTGTCTCCTGAGCTCCTGAACTTGTGAAAATGTAATTAACAAAATTCTTCCAAATGTTCAGAGGAGTCACTTTTTATTTGTAAAATCCTGAAAACAGCCCTGTATGGTTAAAAGTCATCATAATGACCATCATAGAATTGAAAAACCTGAAAAAAAAACCTGATAAAATAAAAAATAAAATAAACATCTGACAGTGGCCTCCTTACCTCAGTGTTCATGTGGATGCTCTCTGTCTGTCTTCTCCCCCCTGTTGTCCACCCACCCCTCCCACATTTGTCTCCGTTCAGTCCCACCAGTTTTAGGTCTGCCGTCCACACTGAGTCTGGTTCAGCTAAAGGTTTCCTCCAGATTACGAGGGAGGGTTTTGCAGAGCCCCTGAAGTTATTATCTAGTGGGAACAAGTTACTATCTTGTGCCCAAAAGATAGTGGGCACCACTCAGACGTACACAACCACCACATTTGTACCATGGAAAAACACATCTAATCAAGTTTTATTTTCAACTGGGAATGTCACACAATGAAATTCTTGTTGCTCTTGCACACAGACACGAGGTTGTAAGGAATGCTGAGCGTACTGAAGGAAAACAGGCTCAGCCAAAGGAAGGACTGTGTTTCAATCATAATAAAACTTGAGAAATCAACAAATGCAATAAATGGAACATAGTGTCATCAAAGCAACGGCCAGTCGTGTTTTTACTATGCAGATATTAACTCTGTGTGCACAACCCACTATATCCTGTCGTCTTCGACTTCAGGGGCTCTGTATGGGTTTTCTGTCCTCTGGTTTGTTTGTTGTGGGAACTGTCGGGTTTCTCTATAATATTGTCAGGTCTTGACTTTGTTAGATAAAGTGCCTTAACATCATTTATGTTTAAAAAAAATCGAATTGAGTTGAAACCACCAGTGACATGAGCTCATCAGACTGAGACGACCTGCTCTCCACCTGTCACAGCTGCAAACCCTGCTCTCTGCTGGCAACTGTCTTTTTCTAACCTTTGGACTGCAGTTTATGGTGTCTCCCTCTCTGATGCTGTCTGTCTGTCTCTGATGCTGTCTGTCTGTCTGTCTGTCTGTCTCTGGTG